TATTTAATATAATCATCAATTTTTTTTCAGTCCTTTTTTTATATTTGATTATTCTTTTGAAATATATATTTTATATATATATTTTTGTTTATAATTTTCCTTTTGACTATAACAAGGGATAAATTTCATCTTCTAATTTATCCGAATGTTCATCCTCTCTGATTTTCAAGCTCCTTCAATATTCCCTTCAACAACTAAAACATTACTAACAAAAATCATATATATTGGATTTGATTTTCATTTAAGGTGGAAAAGGTAAATTCATATTCCTAATTAGATTAAATATATTCATTCTTTTTTCATAAAGAAAAATATTGGCAAAAATTCATCTGAATTTTGAATAATAGAAATTCCATCTAAAATTTTAGCGATTTAACTTGCGCTGTCATTACAACCTATTTTAGTCTGATCTGCAAAGAATTTGTTTCTTAGAAAATCGGAAGTTGTCCTTTATTAATAATAATTTCATGCCAGAATATTTTTTGAATGAAAAAAAAAACCTTTTAATTTTTCTAAACCATGTTCCTACTATGATGAAACCCAAAGATCAAAATTAATTCTGTAAAAATTTCATTTTTTTCTTTCATTCATTCATCTTATTTTTTTTGTTTTAGACAATAATGCAGTTGCTACATGATGAAAACAATTTAATTTGCATTTAAATTTCAGAATGTCAAAAATCATTTCTCTCGTTTTTAATCATTTGTGGATAAAAGACAAGTTTTTCTTAATGATGTATTCCCTTCAAGGATCAAGGCAATTAAAAATGCCAGAAAATCTTCTCTTATCATTTTGTTCCTTCAAATAAATTCTATTGTCTGAAAATTTTTTTGCACATTTATATATATATATAAATATATATATATATTATTTTAAGCTCATAATTTATATTTCAATATGTATATATAGATAAAGTTTCAAATTACAAAATTATATTTATTTTATGATATTTTAGTTTACAATATTTGAGATTTCAAAAAATGGTCAAAATAAAAAATTAAAAATAATTTTTTTTTTAATTTGAAATTTTTCTTAAATATATATATATATCTATTTATATATATACAAAAACCTTTCAGATTGATTTAGATAAAAAAAAGTGGTCTGAATAATAAATTCCTAATAGAAATTTCATCCTATTTTAGAAAACTTCTATGTGACTAACATGTTTGAAGTAAATCTTATAGTTTTTGCACACTTTGGCCTTCACATCTATAGGCCTTCCCTAAATATTAGTTTACTCAAAATGATCCACTAAATGAAAGATATTACAATAATATATATAAAATGTTTACCAGATGTTGTATCCATGTCAATAAAAAAATGAAACAACACAAAAGAATTTTCCAAATAAATGAATAATAACTTACATCATCATTAAACAACTTTTATGTAATTAAAAAGAAATAATTCATATTTTATTAAAAAAAAAAAAATTTTCTATTTTATTTTATTTTGGTTTTCTAAAAATAACATTTGTTTAAAAGTTTATATTTGATCAAATACATTTTTAAAACGATTCAATGTCCCCAGAAATCACAGATAATTGGTATAACAGTTGACTATAGTATTCCATATCTTTCATTTTATAAGAACTGATTTTTTTTTTTGTTTTTTTTAAATTTATTTTAGCATTATATATTATTTTGGGACATGAGACGTTTTATACAATATTATAGCCCGCCGGTATTGATACTTGATGAAAAAAAAGCACTTTATCAAAATCCATCCTGGCCAGATAACATAAAGAATGAGGGGGACTTTGTTTTTTATCCAATAACTTAATGCATTCAATAAATTTATTTTCTGGGATCACAGTGTTTTTATGGGTATTATATAAACAACTATTTTTTCCACCTAATTCTTGGCGAAGGGCAGTTCACGGTTCATACATAAAAAAAAACTCAGGAGAACTATTCACCCATTTATTTTTCTCTGAAGTATTGATTCTTCAAAATGGAAGGCAATTCCTCAATTGCGAATATGTACCTTGTTGAATATAGAATGAATTGGTTTTTGTGCCATCTCGTCGCATCTTGTTTTTATTCAAATTTTCACAAATAAATTCTATCTTTGAAAATTCTAGCCTTCAATTTATATATTATAAATATATATATATATATATATATATAGCATAATGAGAAGCCACGTATACTTTCTTAATATGTATATATAGAAAAGTTTCAAATTAAAAATTATAATGTTTTATTTTATGAAAGTATTTATTTATTTATATATATATTTGATATTTCAAATTGTCCTCAATTTTCATCAGAAATAACTGTTTGTTACAAATAAATTAAAATTACTGTTTGTTTGAGGTTCTGGTCGAAAATTCTTCTTTTTTTTTTGTTTTTTTTTTGAAACCTTTTATTGTTATATATGATATATATATTGTATATATATAATATATACCTGGCCATATGCATACAAAAGAACTAGCACACAAAAGCGGACGGATGGCTAATTAGTACAGTTAATTTTAATGGCGGTCGTGCAAGATAGTGGTCCGATTTAGGGATAACGGCTTTGTAGACGCATTCACGGCACCAGAGGTAGAAATTATAGAATGTCTTGGGAAAACACCTACAGATTCTGGCCCCATTTTTCAAACAGTGGTCAATTTTTTGCCTTACGTATTTGGGTTTGGGGTTTTGTCATGAAGTCATGCGTACCTACGATCCCAAATCATACAAAGAGTGCCACGTTTGGGTTTGGCCGGAATATCCCATATTAAATTCTGGCCTAGCTTGTAAAGACAGATCTGACTGTAAAGATCCGGGGATTGAGTTGGAACTAAGATATTCTGTCTGGAAAAGCAACTCGTGATTTGCTCAAAAGGTGACCACCGGATTCATTGTGGAATTCACT